TTGGTGATTCCAGTGATTGGGCTTCCCAATTGGCATTTAGTGGGTGCGTCCAAGGAGACTGGCTTCCAAAAACACACAGGATAATCCTGCATGACAAAGATGGCCTCTTGTCTCACGTGAATTTCAAAACTTCTACTGGACATTCATGTAGTTGAAAAACCTGATCTGAATGATCTGAGCCCATATCTGACTACTTTTTTACATACAAACACAAGACAATCTTCTGAGATGTTTTAACATTATTAAATTTCCAGCAGTTCAACTCTTATAAATCAAAGTGAAACTCAACTTTGTTTTATTCAAGACTTGCCACAGACCATTCACTATTTTAGAAAGTAGAATCACAAAATGGAGACACAACCTACAGTATTTCACTCATTAGGCAGTATGTATAGCTCTGTACTTGGAGCTGTCAAATTTACAGTGAATCTCAAATAAGTGCAAGCTTCCAACTCCTTTTGTAAACTCTTAGCTCATATTTTGAATTGATTATAGACTGGTAGCTCAGACCGTAAAGAATCTGCCTGCAATATATGAGAGCTGGGTTTGATTCCTGGATCAGGAAGGTCTCCTGGAGGAGGGCATGGCAACCCACTCCAGTTTTCTTGCCTGGAGAATCCCATGGACAGAGGAGCCTGGAGGGCTACAGTCTATAGGATCACAAAGAGTCAGACATGTGATCTATAGGATCACAAAGCACAAATGCACGCATACGTAGGTTATATTATCTGTGGATTGCATTTTAGTGCGGTAAAGGAGGCACAAATACATTTGGTAGAGGAGAGAGGTGGGATTGAAGAACTGATAGGGTTGATGCCGTCCATAGCCCCCTGACCACCCCTGTCCCCTTGAACGTAGCCTGGATGTTAGCCATCTTTGTGCCAGAGTATTTTAGCCCTTTGCTTCTCCCTCTCTGTCTTAGCTCAGTTTGATAGGACAAATACCAACTGGGTGGCCTAAATGACAGTTACTTGTCTCTTATAATTCTGAAGGATGGAAGTCCAAGATCAGAAGGCCAGTTTGGGTTCCTATGAGGGCCCTCTTCCTGGCTTGTAGATTGCCTTTTTGCTGTGTCCTCACATGTCCGAAAGAGAGAGACAGCTCTGGTCCCTTCCTCTTCTTATATGGGTACTAATCCCATTGTGAGGGCTCCACAATCACAACCTGTTCTAAACCCAATAAACTCCTAAAGGCCCCACCTTCTAATACCATTGCATCATGGATTAAACCTTCAACATATGAATGGGGAGGAGGGGAGGGAGGGCACAAACATGCAATCCAGAGTACTTCATATACTAGTCTAGATTAATTTATTCAACAAATAGGGGAGCCAGATTAATTGTAAAACAGGGTGGTATACTCCCTATGGGGAACACGAAAGTGAATAAAGTGTGGTTCCTGTTCTCCAAGAATTCATAGCCTTTTAATTGTAAGACAGGCTGGTATACTTCCTATGGGGAACACAAAAATGAATAAAGTGTGGTTCCTGTTCTCCAGGAATTCACAGCTTAGCTGGGTGTTCAAAGACCCATTTCCTCCCATCTCCAGGATCTGGAGATAAAAATCCAGAAGTATCAACGGCAATAAGCAATAATTCTCCAGCTCTCCCCACTACCCATTATCGGTCAAAGTTCATTCAGATGTCTTCTGGGAATTCCTAACAGATATGTCCTGTGGTCTCATTAACAAGCCCTCCAGCCCGCAGGTGGCAAAACCCTTCTGCCTCCTTGGGTGGATGCAGCCCAGCTACCACTGAGAACACTCGCCCTCATCAGCATCGCCCCTGTGGCTGCTGGGAGGGTGAGACATGGGCACAGCCACCAATATTGCTGCCTTTGCCAGAACCCACCTTTACTGAGGCTGGCATAGGTGGTGGGCATCACCCAGGCCTCCCAAAGAACCCAGCATCCTTCCTGTACCAGGAGCTCCCACCACGGCCACTGCTGCCACGTCCTACCCCATAGCCCCTCCTGTCGTGGGCGCAGCTAACACACTGTGCCCTGGGGACTCCCACGTGCTGAAGTCACCTCTGCTGCTCGGAAGAGGGGAAATTCCTCTTAGCACCACCCCACTCCCCCCGACCCCTGCCAATGGTGCTGGCTCAAGGAGATTTGGAGTAAAGACAACCTTTTTAGGGAGGACGGTGAGGGCAGATTTAGGGTCAGAATGCTTGCTTTCACATCTAGGTCTGCCATCGACTGCATGACCTTGGACAAGAAATTAAGTTTCTGAGCCTGAGTTTCCATGTCAGAAACACAGGTAAGACAACAGCAACTATCTCATAGGTTTTGTATGAAGATGAATGATAATAGGCTGAACTAGCATTTCGTATGAAACAAGAACTATTCTAAGAGATTTAAGCCTCACTCTATTATCATTCCCCTTTTACAGAGTGGGGAACTAAGGCACACAGTAATTAACTTCAACTGCCAGAGGTCACATAGGTAATAAACGATATAGCCAGCGTTTGAACCCAGACCCTTCAGTTCCAGAGGCCACATACTTCACCTCTGTGCCACACTGTTCCCTCATGGGGAGCCCTGTCTTCAGTGCTTTGCTTGAAAGAACTTGTGTCATCCTACACAATCCTAGGACATAAGAACTGTAATTATGCCCATTTTGCAGACGAGGCAACTGAGGCAAGCAAGAATAAACAAATAGATTACAGAAGATGATGCACTTAAAGTGTGTAGCATTAATTACATGTTAGCCTGCTTTTCCCAGGACTTAGACTTGCACCCAGGGGCTGGGCTGGAGGAACTCCCTGAGGCCTGGGATCCCCATGGTGCCATAAACCACTGAAATAAGGCCAAATGTGGTTAGTACCCCTGGAGTGACTTGGAACACCATCAAATTCTTATTTATTGGCCATTTTCAGATCCCAAACAGTTTTTTTCCTGGTTCTCTATAGTCCAAACGCCTTTGTTTAAATCCTAGTTCTGTTGCTAAGTCTTAATCATGCATAAGAAATATGACCTTTTAGAAATTCCACTTCTGCATCAATTATGTACATAAAATAACACCCTGCTCCTCAAAGTGTGGTCCATGGACCAACAGCATCAGCATCACCTGGGAGCTGGGTGGAGATGAAGAATCTCAGACTCCTCCTCAGGCCTGCTGGATCAGAGTCATTTTAGTAAGATTCCTAGAGATTCGTGTGCATGGGCATATCCAACCCGTAACACTGATAATGCTACCCCAGATAATGCTACCCACTGATAATGATGAACCCCAGATATTTAGATGGGGTAATAGACAACCAACTCTTGAAGTTCTTAAAGGAATGGGAATACCAGACCACCTTATCTGTCTTCTGAGAAACCTGTGTGCATGTCAAGAAGAAACAGTTAGAACCTTACATGGAACAACTGACTGGTTCAAAATTGGGAAAGGAGTACAACATGGCTGTATACTGTCAACTTGCTTATTTAACTTCTATGCAGAATACATCATGTGAAATGTCAAACTGGATGAATCACAAGCTGGAATCAAGACTGCAGCAAGAAATATCAACAACCTCAGATATGCAGGTGATACCACTCTAATGGCAGAAAGGAAAGAGAAAACTAAAGAGCCTGGTGATGAAGGTGAAAGAGGAGAGTTAAAAAGCTGGCTTAAAACTCAACATTCAAAAAATTAAGATCATGATATCTGGTCTCATCACCTCATGGCAAATAGATGGGGGAGGCTGTTCAGTTCAGTTCAGTTGCTCAGTCGTGTCCGACTCTGTGACCTTATGGACTGCAGCACGCCAGGCCTCCCTGTACATCACCAACTCCCAGAGCCTGCTCAAACTCAGGTCCATCAAGTCACTGATGCCATTCAACCATCTCATCCTCTGTCATCCCCTTCTTCTCCTGCCTTCAATCTTTCCCAGCATCAGGGTCTTTTCCAATGAGTCAGTTCTTCACATCAGGTGGCCAAGGTATTGGAACTTCAGCTTCAGCATCAGTCCTTGCAATGAAAATTCAGGACTGATTTCCTTTAGGATGGACTGGTTAGATCTCCTTGCAGTCCAAGGGACTCTCAAGAGTCTTCTCCAACACCACAGTACAAAGGCATCAATTCTTCAGCACTCAGCTTTCTTTATAGTCCAACTCACATCCATACATGACTACTGGGAAAACCATAGCCTTGACTAGATGGACCTTTGTTGGCAAAGTAATATCTCTGTTTTTTAATATGCTGTCTAGGTTTGTCATAGCTTTTCTTCCAAGGAGCAAGCTTCTTTTAATTTCATTGCTGTAGTCACCATCTGCAATGATTTTGGAGCCCAAGAAAATAAAGTCTGTCACTATTTCCATTGTTTCCCCCATCTATTTGCCATGAATTGATGGGATCAGAACCCATGATCTTAGTTTTTTTTTTTTTTTTAGAAACAGAAAGTCATGAGTGTTTACAATGGACAAGGTGGGGGGAGGGGAAGCTCTTTTGGTTAACAGCGTATTTACATTAGGTAACTGTATTCTTAAATACTTTTAACCTGGGTAACATTTATAAGTATGTTATGTGAAACCTCACAGCCACAAGTCACACCACAATTCCTGTGTCCAGTCCCTCGGCTTTCCCGTCTTCCTCTCTAGTGAGTTCACACTTCGGGAGAGTTGTGAACACGCAACACCAAGAGAAGTGCATCCTGGCCCTTCAGGTGCACCGTCAACAAGATGGAAACAGGCTCTGCTCTCTCAGCTTCTGCCTAGACAACTTACATGCACAGAAAACACACTCGGTATAGAACTGTCGGCTTTTGCCTCACCAGGCCACTTCTCAGCTGTTCACAGCTTCAAGCAATAGGTTTACTGTGCACAAAGAGGCTTGAAGAGTGGCACCGCTGCTTGGGGATCAGGGGCTTCCTACCTTGGCAGAATGATGTTAGTATATACTACGAAGTGGCATCAGGGGCCCTCCTTGGGCATCCAAGGCATTAGATCAACGGCTTGTCCTTGGCCCAGAGGTGATGCACACTGTCACAGTACTCAGTAATAAAAGTTCCTGCTGCATTAGTAAGTCAGTGTTGAAGCTCTCCTATTGTAGCAAGGCCTTTCAGTCAGTGTGGATGCAGCATTTCTGAACAGAAAATTTTCACTTATCATTAAAACCAGTTCCAGCTCTTGAAAATCTTGGAGTCGAGCAACATCTTTGTCCTTTCTTACCAGAGTATTGGGTAGCTTTCTGATCTTCTCCACTTGACCAGGATTAACACCCAGCTCACAGCAACTCACTCTGAGCAGCTTTTGGTAGGTGAGCTCCTGTCGGTCCAGTTCAATTTCAATGAAATCATTTTCTCTAAGAGATGGGTTCTGAATCTTCACCTTGAGTACCAGCTCTTGCATATTAAATGGAAATGCTCCAGTGAAGAAAAATGGCTGGAATGCTGGCACTGGTCCTGCATATGTCCCATTTTGAGGCTCCAGAGACATTGGTGGCTTGGATGGGACAGTACAGAACAGGGATAGAGTCTGACTCACTGGTGGCTGACAAACAGGACCCGGTTTTGTGCTTTCTGGTGTTCTAAGTATGGCAGAGGGGGCAGACACATCCCCGTTCTGAACCAGTGCCAACGAGGTGTGGTCCCACGGAAAGGGCTGAAGCAGGGGAACTTCTCCAGGGGCAGGAACGGAGGCGAGCCACCTGCAGGGGGTGATGCAGGAGGCGCGGAGGGCCCCATTCTGTAGCTGGGCTGAATCCTCTGATGCAGGTATACAGATAAAAGGGAAGGCTGGGCTGGCCAGATAGTTGGGAACGAAGGGCAGTTCTGACTCCTTCTTCAGCTGGGGGTGATCGTCGCTGTCACCATCATCATCTTCCACTCCCATAATCTTCCTAATTTCTCTTCTTGATGTTAGCTGGACGGGCATTTCTCCCTTTGTGGTAAGAATCTCTTTGTCAGCTCCCGATTTCAGTAAGTAAGAGACCACCTGACCATGACTGTGTTTACACGCCCAATGTAAACAGGTCACTTCTTAAAATGTGGCCCCTTATTTAGTTGGGAAGGACTCAATCACTGGCAGGTATCTGAAGTCTTGGATAAAGTCCCATATTTGAAACAGCCGTTGACCTCATTTTGGGAGTTCACATCCACCCCGCTCTCCACCAGTTTCTGCACCTCCCGAATGTCCCCCAAGGCCGCGGCCTCCCGCAGCCTCTCCTGCTGCTCCTTCTGCTCGAGGCAGTGCCGCCGCCGCCGCCGCGGACCACTCCCCGCCATGGAGTGACCGCGCGGGGCACACCTCCCTGTTCCTGTTCGCGCTGCAGTCCGTGCCGAGCCAGGGGCCTCCTTTCCCGCTTCGTGGCACGCCCGCTGCTCCCCTGCTGCCCCGGACCTGCGGGCCTAAGCCTCCTCCTGGTCATGCCTCCCACAGGCCGGCTCCTGGGGAACCTATTCAGAGTGACTGATCTTAGTTTTCTGAATGCCGAGTTTTAAGCCAGCTTTTTCACTCTCCTCTTTCCCTTTCATCAATAGGCTCTTTAGGCTGAGCACTGAAGAACTGATGCTTTTAAACTGTGGTGCTGGAGAAGACTCTTGCAATCAAACCAGATCAATCCTAAAGGAAATCAACCCTGAATATTCACTGGAAGGACTGATGCTGAAGCTGAAGCTCCACTTCTTTGGCCATCTGATGTGAAAAGTTCCTGATGCTGGGAAAGATAGAAGGCAAAAGGAGAAGAGGGTGGCAGAGGACGAGATGGTTGGATGGCATCACTGACTCAAAGGACATGAATCTGAGCAAACTCCAGGAGATAGTGAAGGACAAAGAAGGTTGCAGTCCATAGGGTCACAAAGAGTCGGACACAACTCAGTGACAGAACAACAGACACTTAACAGATAATAATAACTAATTTTGTCTAAGTGCTCACCATGTGCTAAACCCTCAACATGCATTATTCCACTTAATTCACATAATGTCCTGTGAGGTGGTTTTTAGAACTGCTGTTTTGGAAATGAGGAATCCCAGGCCCAGGAAGCTCATGTGATTTCACAGCCAGTAAACAGTAAAGGCAGGTGCCTCCAGAGTCCGCCGTATCCACTACAAGGCTGGATGTTTCCAAAGCACTGTCATTAGGTCTCCTAATGATGCTCCCATTAATATGACAAAACTCATTTCCACTAACTGAATCCCTATTATGTGTCAGAGTGAGCTCCATGCATTCATAGGTTATCTGACTCTCAGAAGTCCTTTGAGGAAACAATTTTCATCCTCATCCAAACCAAGATGCTTAGATCAGAGAGGTTAAATAACTTGCCCGTAGTTGCACAGCCAGAAAGTGATAGAATCGGGATTCCAACCAGGCAGTCCTGCTCCAAAGCCCAGGTCCTCTACCCATAGACTATGCTGCCTCCTCCTGGCTTCACCCTGTCCTGCTCTGGTTTTTGTTGGTTTGTTTGTTTTTGTCCACGTTACTCGTGATGTGGGATCTTAATTCCAAGACTAGGGCTTGACCCTGCATCCCTTGCAGTGGAAGTGTGGTGTCTTAACCGCTGGACCACCAGGGAAGTCCCCCTCCTCTGATTTTCAATTGTGTTTCCACCATAATTTCATGAGATCTGCCCTTAGGCCCAGGCAATGGGGTCCCCGTCCCCCTACAGTCACTCTTCTGCAGCCATGCCCCTCCCCATGGGGCAAGGAGTCAGGAGCCATGCCTGTGCCCCTCTGTAGACAGATTCTTCATCCTCCCTGCCCGCTGGGCCCTCAATCGCTTCCAGTGCCTACGTGGGCCTCTTTTCTGGATTCCACCCTTGGGAGGTGGGTCAAGCCTCCAACATGCTCACCCCAGGCCGGATGGATGCTCAAGAGGGAGCTGCGTAGCAGAGGGTCAAAGCTGGGGGTTCAGGCCGGGGTGTTCTGGAGGAAGAGAAGTGGGAAAACCACAGGTCAGGGGGTACACTCTCATTCCAGCCACACAGGTGAAGGGTGGGCCTGGTCTCAGGACTTGCCCTCCAGTTGGGTCCTGCAGATACATCCTACCTCCACTCTTCGGTTCTAAGTTCCTGGTTGAGAAACGTTTTGATATAAACTCCTCTCAGTCGCCCATGGCCTAAGCAGGGACATGCCCTCTGTAAGTACAATGAGCCAACACGATGCCAAGGGGTTCACTGACTTAGCCCCAGCTTCAAACCTGGTTATTAACAGGGTGGGAGACAAGGGGATCCCCAGTCGGCCACAGGCCCCTAGTCTCAGCGGACAGACCAACAGGCTGAGACTCCCCGCCTCCAGTGTCAGCCTTCCCAGGTCCTGCCTAGATGGGAGGGGGGCAGGCAAGGATGCAGCTTGTCATGTGTGAACAACGCAGGGTGGGCACACGGGGGGCGCTCAGAAAGATTATCTCACAGTTCAAACTCGTTAATGAAAGAAATAAATTAACCAAGCTCATTTTTCAGGGAATTCTTGTGTAAACTGGAAATTTTCCAGTCTGTGAGCCCTGTGCCAGGCCCTCCCATAAATCACAGCAAGTAGGCTGTCGGCTTGGCAGAGGGGGAAGGGGCGAGGGGGCGGGCAGCCAAGCAGAGGGGAAGCTGGTCGCCGGCCCGGCGGGGCCGTGCTGGGAGGACCATGTCCTCCTGGCACCTTCTGCCTCCACTGAAGCACTGGGAAAAGAAAGAGGAAAAGAAAGAGCAGAGGCAAGAAGCAACCATGGGGCTTCTGCCAGCCTGTCAGCAAACACTCCTAGCCCCCCGACACCCCTAACCTGGGAGAAGCCCCCTAAACAGGTCATTTTTTAATTGAATACGGTATTAATTACTGCGTGCACCATTAACGGTTTGTGGGATTTGACTAATTAATGTAATAGTTTTTGAGTCACGCTCATTAAATATGAAAATTACGCTGGTGAAAGGTATTGGTTTCATTATCAATCTTGTATGGACAGGATGGGGGCAGGGACCGGCAGCAGATGGGATGGACCCCTGCCTGCCTCTTCTAGCTGCGGAGAGCTTTATTGGGGTTCCACAATTGAGGGGATCCCGCAAGGGGGCCTGGTGGAGGAGAGAGGGAAGATGATCCTGAGGGAACGCTGGGAGCAAGCTCTCATCAGGCATGACCTCTGACGAGGCAGTGACCACGCAGGGCTCTGAAAACCAGATCCCTGTGTTCCTTCGTAGCACAGACTTGTGCAGGTAAAAACCCTCTCTTAGATTCATTCATTCTTTGAGGTATGGTGCGGCAGACACTCGTGGCCCACTGCCTAATACTTATGCCCAGCCCAATCCCTCGTTTCTAGTCTGCTTCTGCCTCAGGCTTAAAAAAGGAATGATTAGATTCTTAGACGCACAGCCTCCTTTGCAGCTAAGAATGGTCATGTGACATTACATGGCCAATAAAATTTGAGGGAGGAGCAAGACTGAAAGAATAGCTATGGCTGGTGTCCCTGTTCCTTGTCTTCTGTTTGGAGCTGTGGCAGCTGTGTTTTGAACATGAGGGGAAAGCCAAGAGACAGGCAATTAGGTGCAGACAAACACTGTTTGATTCCACTTATATGAGATGCCTAGAAGAGTCAAAATCTTAGAGTCAGAAAGTGCATTGGTGGATCCCGTGGGCAGGGAGGTGGTGAATGGGAAGGGGGAATGGGGAGTTAGTGGGACAAAATTTCAGTTTAGGAAGATGAAAAATTTGGGAGATGATGATATTGAGAGTTGCACACCAATGTTAAGGGACTTAGTGATGCTGAACTGTACAGTTAAATATAGTTTAAAAAGTATGCTTTGTACTATGTGACCTTTACCACAATAAAAAATATATATATTTTAAAAGCCCAGAGACTTGCAGAGATGCTGGCCCTGATGCTGTTGAGCCACTGAACCATATCCAGGGTCATCTACTCTCAGACTCTGTTCTGGGAGAAAAAAGTAACCTTCTATTTGTTGAAAACACAATAACGGCTCTTTCTGTTATTTGCATCTCAAAGTGTTACTAATAGATACACTTGACAAAGGCACTAGGCTAGGTATGGTGAGAAAGTCAAGTGAAGTGAAAGTTGCTCAGTCATGTCTGATTCTTTGCAGTCCCGTGGACTATGCAGTCCATGGAATTCTCCAGCCCAGGATACTGGGGTAGGTAGCCTTTCCCTTCTCCAGGGGATCTTCCCAACCCAGGGATTGAACCCAGGTCTCTCGCATTGCAGGAGGATTCTTTACCAGCTGAGCTATCAAGGAAGCCCAGAGAAAGTCAAACACGCTTACAATTTTGCTCTTACATAAAGAGCAAAAAAGATGAAAAAAGTTCTAAAATACTTGTCATTTAAGTCAGCCAATGCCAAGTGTCAGTTGTGTGGCCTCCAAGGGTTGCTCTTCATCTGGGGAGCCCCGTAGAGCCTTATGATTACTTATAGCTGAGACACACCTCCACCCTCCAGGAGTTTACTCAAACTCATGTCCATTGAGTCAGTGATGCCATCCAACCATCTCATCTTCTGTCATCATCTTCTCCTCCCACCTTCAATCTTTCCCAGCATCAGGGTCTTTTCAATGAGTCAGCTCTTTGCATCAGGTGGCCAAAGTGTTGGAGTTTTGGCTTCAACATCAGTCCTTCCAATGAATATCAGGACTGATTTCCTTTAGGATGGACTGATTGAATCTCCTTGTAGTCCAAGGGACTCTCAAGAGTCTTCTCCAACATCACAGTTCAAAAGCATCAATTCTTCGGCGCTCAGCTTTCTTTACAGTCCAACTCTCACATCCATACATGACTACTGGAAAAACCATAGCCTTGACTAGATGGACCTTTGTCGGCAAAGTAATGTCTCTGCTTTTTAGTATGCTGTCTAGGTTGGTCATAGCTTTTCTTCCAAGAGCAAGCGTCTTTTAATTTCATGGCTGCAGTCACCATCTGCAGTGATTTTGGAGCCCAGAAAAATAAAGTCTGCCACTGTTTCCACTGTTTCCCCATCTATTTGCCATGAAGTGATGGAACCAGATGCCATGATCTTAGTTTTTCTGAATGTTGAGCTTTAAGCCAACTTTCCCACTCTCCTCTTTCACATGTGTTACTTCCCTTTAATTTAACCACACCGATTTGAGTTCTAACTATCCCCTCCCAAGCTCGCAGACCCTCTCATGAAAGTTTGTTGACCACTTTGAACATCAGTTTCCTCAACTGCAAAATGGTGAGAGTCATATCTGGTTGATATATTTATTCTGGTGAGTAATTAGATGGCTGGATGGCATCACTGACTCAATGGACATGAACTTGGGCAAACTCCAGGAAATAGTGAGGGGTGGGGAGCGGGCCGTGCTGCAG